ATAGTCTAAACTTTTCTCCCTCTTCTTCTCTCATGTTCTCCATGCTGCATGTTCTTCACACCTGTTCTCCAAATCCCAAAGGCTCAAATACTATAGATATTTATGTTATAATGTAATAAATGACAAGTTAACAGTAAGAAGGCTTTAAAAATAAATTGCCAAATTTAGACTGTATAAACAACAAGGTCCTATGGTATAGCAAAGGGAACTATATCCAATCTTCTGGGATAAACCATATGGAAAAGAATATTAAAAAAAAGAATGTCTATACGTGTAAAACTGAGTCACTTTGCTATACAGCAGAGATTGGCACAGCATTGTAAATCAACTATATGTCAAGTAAAAAACAAACAAACAAGCAAAATAAATTGTCGTGGGGCAGATCACTTAAACTTTATACAACTGTGATTGGAGCACCAAAAAAGCAAAGCAAAGCGAACCAACCAACCAAGAAACTAATCAACCAAACAAACAAGCCAAACTCAAATAACAGTCATATTAAAATAGGACTTTACTTTTAAATAGAAAGATGATGGTAGCCTGAAGGAAGCGTTGAGGAAAAAAGAGCAAAAGAAGCACTTTCAATCCAGGACATATTTGCAAACTGAGCCAAAAAGAACAGTGGAGTAATGGTGCTTTGTATATAGCCATGTACTATATTTTTCTGCTACTACTTGGAGATTCAAAACATTCAGGTGATGGGTAAAAGAGTATGAACCAACTTCAAAGTTCTATTGACATCATTTCCTTGCTTACAAATCACATGTGAGTTAATCCAGATTTCAGAAATAATCTGAAGAATAGACTGAATTTCAGTGTCCAGCTTAAGCTTTTATTTCCTCCATCAAAATTTCCCTGATCCCCTTGGCTAGAAATGACATTCCTACTTCTGAACACTAAAGTACTTTATACTTGTCTTATAGCTCTTATGTTTTCCACCCCATGCATACTTATCGAGGTGCATGTCTTATTCTTTTACAGGGTTGCAGTCTTTTTCAGCTACTTTCTGATTTTTTCTGTGTATGCTCTATAGCACTTCAAATGGCATCCTGCATATAACAGGTGTTTGAAAATATTTGATGAATGAATGAATGAGTGAATGAATGATGAGCAAATTAAATATAGTAGAGAAATGAGAGGCAGATAGTAAATAAAAAAGAGACTAGATGAAAATCATGCACCTTCCTACTTTTTGTTTTCTGTTTCAGTATTATTTTGGTAAAGGCATGAAAGAATCCAAAATTTAAGTTTTTAAGATTTCTTTGATATCTGTATATCATAATAAAAACCAGACTTTGATGATTTGATAATTTAAAATATTTCTATTTTGCATAAAGTGCAGCTGGACAAGAACCGTTAGATTCAGTGCATGTTCTTTTCATTTGATTTTAAAGCTATTATTCATTTGTTTTATTGTATTAGCAAAAGAAACTGTTCATTTTTTTATCTTTTGAGCTGTATTTCAAATACTTTCAAGTTACTCATTTTACAGATTGGCCTTGTCAGAAAAAGAGAACTACATAAAAGTTTTAATTCCATAGATTATTTAACCTTTAAGTTGCTGATTCAAGTGAATTGTACATTTTCTTTGACCTTTTTCTTTTGGGATATACTCATTTTCATTGACTTGTAAGAGTTCTTTACATAGTAGATGAAACATACAAAATTGTTTTTATAGGTCAAAAACAGTTGAATATCCACAACTTCATATGATTCAACTTAAATCATATATTTATGTTGGTTGCCAAGGCTTTCCCAGTTTGTTCTTTTTACTGTAATGTATTTTTAAAGCATAGAACAAGTTTAAAATTTTTTTGTGGTTTAATTTAGAGATCCTTTGCTTTGTTCTCTATTGCTTTATTGCAGCAAAAGTTCTTTCCATCCCGAGGGCAGATAAATATTTTTGTAGTTTCATATTTTTTAATTTAACTTTTAAAATCCATCTGGAATTTTGTTTGAATGTGTTGTTAAGGCCAGGATCTGTTTACTGAGTGAAGAAACAATTACCCTCAGATTCTTGAGCTAACTCTATTGTTTAATTTCATGCCCCATTGCTAAAATCACAAAATTATTCTGTGTCCTAGCAATATAACATCTTTGACCTTGAGTCCTCATAAAATACATTATTCTGGTTCCTTGGTTTAGCTGATGTATTTCAAGGACCAGAGTAATCTAGAGACCTTCATTTGGAAAGTGTTTACTCTAAGGATGTAAGTAAGTAATAAGGCACACAATACTTGATTTACTTGATGGTTTCTCCTAACATAAAATTCTATCACTCAGAAAATTTTACACATTAACTCACATGGACAATATTGTTTTAAAAATGTTCTTTAAGTAGAAAGATTAAAAAAATCTTGATTGTGTTCTTCTTTTATACTTAAATTGGACTTTATACTTAAGTTGGGCTTAACTTTAGGAACGATATATATATTTATATATATATATTTAAAAATTTTCCTTTGCATTTAAGATACCAAGTGATGACATTACTTATGTATTAAGTAGTGGTATAGACCTGTGTTAAAGTACTTTTTCCATCATAGATGTTTTAGACAGAAATTTCACTGATTCTAAAATTTTTAGAGCTTGTGTTAGTGTTCCTGTGGAATAAAACATGCAATGTTAAATGAATTCAGCTATTCTAAATTTCTGTTATTTGATCTAAATTGTATGTAATGGCTCTAATACCATTGATAAGAAAAAAGTAAATTGCTTAAGTTTTGGAATTTAGTGTTAAGACATTCTGGTGACGCTTGTTAAGCTCTTTGAGTGGGTAAAGACCCTGGCTTCTCCCTTTTCTGTTTGGACGTCTCAAAACACCAGTAAAGAATTGTTTCTTTTTGAGACGCTGAAGAAATATGTGTATACACTACTATTCAAACTCTCTCTATCTGAACTCAACAACTTAATAGGTTCAGATAAATTTTTAGATAAATCCCTGTATCTAAATTGTTGCTATTTGCCATCTAAAACAGTGCGATGAAACTGATTCCATAATAAGCTGTCCAATTCAAAGACCAAATAAATTTGGATAGTGAGGTATATTTGTAATGCCTCATGCTAGGTTTCCTTTATAATGGATCACTCAAAGGGGGAAGATAAAATGGAAATACCCTTTTGGATTCAAAGAACTGATGATCACCACATTGTCTGAGAAGCTCTGCCTTTTAGTGTCCTAGCGTTTCCTTGGGACTTACTGTGTTCTCAGACTTTAGTAGGTCTGGGTGGAATGGGGAACAGACTGCAGTCACAACTAACTCAATAGGGACAGAGGTTTGCCCTATTGAAATGGGCTTGTCAGAGCTGGAAGTTGGGATTTCCATGGCCACTAAGTGGCTTCAGTTGCCTGCAAGGAAAGGGTCAGGCCCAGAGATACTACAGGGGTGAAAACATTTTATTTTAGGAAAATAATTTTATTTGGAAGTATTTATTTTCTGAGCTATTTTGACGGAACCAGTTTGTTAAACTTAAAGACCTTTGAGGATCATCTCGTTTCACCCTCTCATTTTAGACATAAAGCATTTAGGAAGACTTCTCCAAGTTGACGAAGCTACATAGAGCAGAGTTAGAGCTAGAACCCAAGTCCCCTTTTTAGTTTTTAGCTAGTTTTTTAGCTATCAAATCAGTGATACCAATCTATTTTGTATTTTTCTGAAGTCACATTACAGAATTATGTATATATCCTGGAGAAAGTATGTACAGGAATATTGTGTTGAAGGCAGGTGGTGAAGTGGTTGATGGTGGCCACCTTATGGGAAGGATTGAGCAATGGTAGTATTTACTGTCAATCAAGTTGAGCTTTTAGATTAATGAGCTGACCACTTGCCGTGACCCAAAGTTGGGGAGTTTTAAAAATTCTTATTTGTTCTGAATGAGTCCTAGACTCATATACCTTAACTCCTTTTCTTAAGATAAATAGCAACACTTCTTTTCAAGTTCTTTTCTCTCTCAAGTTTTCTGTTGTTTTTGACTAATATTTAACCTTTAGAAAAGTGTTGGAAAACTTGTTTTTTGTTTTTTTTTTAAATCACAGACCAATAGAAAACACAACAAACAAATCTAAAACAAATTCATTTTATATCAGTTCAAAATGACTTATGGCAATATTGAATTTTTTCCCCTCTGGGCAAGGTAGGGAGGAAGCCAATAGTGTTCATCTCAACTACTTTTTATAGCAAGTTCAGGGAAATGTACAACTTTTATTTTTAAGCATTTATGCTAAAGTTATCTATGATTTATATATTATGGCTATTTCTAGAGAATAACAGAGATGAGGGAGCCTAAGAGAGAAGGAAGAGTGAAAGGATGGGGAGGAAAAGAGATAATCAGGATGAGAAGAGTGATGGAGAAAGAGCTACTAAATGAGAAAATGGGATACTTCTGTCTAAGAGTGAAGGGAGAGAACAGACCAGAGAGCTACTTGAATAGGAGTGCATGTGAAGGAAGCCATGGTGAGTGGACCTGGGGAGGGAGGGGAAGCATGTCCCAAGGGTAGAGAGAAGGAAAAGGAAAAGAGCAGTGGGCACATTTCTCTTCAAGGCCTCGTAGGGCTTCCTCCACTAACCTTCCCATTCCCCTGAATTGTCCCATCTTCCGTCCTGTGCCTCAGCCCTAGTCTTCAGCCAGCCAGTAGCCTAGCTCTTGATCCACTGTAGCTCCTACGTGTTGTTCACTGCTTATTATGAATCTGCCAAGTGGGAGGTGCAGTGAGGATTGAATGATACAAGTAAGACCTTGAAAAGCTCTTAGAGCAGGAGTTGCCACATAGTTATGTCCCCAAAAGTGGAAGCTTTAATAGTAATTGTCTGTAAATATAAATCATGTTTGAAACATTTAAATTGAGTCCTTGATGTAAAACTTTAGAAATAGATACGTTATATAGTCATTTTCTTAATGGTATGTTGAAGCTGAATCGAATGAAAATCTAGTTGGTCTAGATTAAATCTAAATCCACCAAAAATTTTTAATTATGTCTCATTTTCTCTTCCTTTTTGTAGTGATTTGAAGGGAGTGATAGTCACTCTGAGTGATGATGGTCACTTGCAATGTTCATACCTGGGGACAGACCCTTCTTTGTTCCAAGCTCCAAAAGTTGAATCTAGAGAACTAAACTATGATGAACTTGATATAGAATTGAAAGAACTTCAGAAAATCATCAAAGATGTTAACAAATCACAAGGTATCTCATTTGTAGCTTTTTATTATTTGATTTTAGTATTCATTGTAAAATTTATATTATTTTGTATATGGATAATGTTTTGTACATATTAGTTGATTTTCTCCCCCAGGCTTAATTAAACTCATTTTTGTAAGAACAGCATTGCTCTTTAACACACTAGTCTTTGTGCTTAATTTGTATTTTATAGCTTCTGAAAAATATGTCCTATTTAAGGTAATACTTTTGTTAGTGTGTTTCAGGGACAGTGCTGAGTTTTTTTCTTTAAACTCTAAGAAAGGAACATGTATTTCTTTGGATAGTGGTTTTAGACCTTTAGAATTACATTAAGGTTTAGAGTGATCATTTATTAACTTCTAATATCCCTGAAAAAATTTTAGCTGCTTCTCTTAAAAGAAACCAAAGCAGTATGTGAATTACTACTTTGTTACTAAAAGTGTAGTCATTTGCAGCCTAGTGATATAATTTATGTTTGTAGTTAATTAGCGATCCAAATGGAGTGTAGCCTGTGGTATGCTGATTTCTAATGACTCAGAGGCTGATGATATTTTCAGTTCTTGAGTTTTGTATAACTCAATATTATCTTACTTTGGGATTCACAAGGGTATAATTTTACTGTAAATTAAAAGGAGAAACAAAACAGCAATCCTGCAGTTTGAGTGGGACATGTGAAAAGCATTACTTTAAGTTCCCTTCTCAGGGTCAGGTAAAAGTATTTTTTTAATGAGAAAAAATATGGACTATTTTCACTTAAAAGAAATGTTAAAACAAGCAGGAATAATAAAAGAAGCAGAGCATCAAAAGCCAACCAAAACAACAGAGCCGATCTTAATCCTGGTCCAGTCACTTTCCTAGATGTATGTATTTTTGAGTCCATATTACCAAGAGACATTCAGAGGAATTTAGATAATATATTTAAAAATATTAATATTAAAAATTATTATGCCTTGGTTTTACACATTCTCTTAGAAAGTTTTGAAAATAAACCAGTGAAGCTTAGGTCTTTTAAGTACCTCCAATTATTTAAAAACCCATTTGTTGTCAGGACCCTCATGTCAAATAGAGAATAGTTAAAACTGGATATGTCATATTGCACATTTTTTTTCCATTTTTGATACTAGTGTTTTGGGATTAATGGAATATAAGTCTCATTTTGTCACTTAAAAATGTAATTGGAGAAGAGTGGCATACATATGAAACATGAAATTTCCAGAGTTGGTTAAATAAGTTTAATGTGGCTTTTCACTACAAACTTTGTGTCTTGAGATTTTGGCCTTTCCATAAACAATGTGCTAATGACATTTTGATGAACACTTGATTATGTAAAACATTTCTCAGGTAAATCCCTTACAGCTAAAAGTCATTTTTTGGTGGCCATAGTGATGCCCTTGGGTGAGAAGGGTTAGGCTGTTTTACTTGTCATTACCCTGATTCTTCTGTGTATCTTGAAATAAGTGCTAATTAAGCTAGGGATGTACCCACAGACTTGAGTGCAAAGTTTATTATTTATATAACCTCAAAGTTAATATTTGAAGTTCTCTGCCCCTTTTTTGCCACCATCATTTGGTTTTATTCCTACAAAAGAAACCGAGACTCTTAAAAAAGAGAGACTTTTAACATATTTTATTTCTAGATATGGAAAAAATTTAGTATTCTCTATACTTATAAAATTGTGGTATATTTGTTCATTAAAATACCTGTAATCGGGCTTCCCTGGTGGCACAGTGGTTGAGAGTCCACCTGCTGATGCAGGGGACACGGGTTCGTGCCCCGGTCCGGGAGGATCCCACGTGCCGTGGAGCAGCTGGGCCCGTGAGCCATGGCTGCTGAGCCTGCGCGTCCGGAGCCTGTGCTCTGCAATGGGAGAGGCCGCAGCAGTGAGAGGCCCACGTACCGCAAAAACCGCCCCCCAAATTATATAAAATTATATAAAATTATATAAAAGCACCAAATCATTTCATTACAGAAGATTATGAGAAGTTAAAACTCTGAACTTTTTGATGACCTCATTATTCATTTAAATGCCACCTATTTTAATACGGTGACTTTAACTTGCAAAAAAGAAGTTCACAGTCTTGTGGGTTATGTTCAGCACTTAAAAGCTTGTTTTATTTCTTCAAAGCAAGAATTGCAGCAAAATGTAAAGCCAATTTAAAGAGTATATTTTGTTGTGCACATGGTATATATTATCTACTGTAATAAAAGTATTTTTGAAGCTGATTTTATGTGTGTAAGTTATAGGAGGGATGTATGTTGTAAGCATGAAATTATAGTAATAATTTCTGTATGGCTTATGGATTTTGAAGCTTTTCATACTCAACTCATTAGTGAGAATCCTGCCTTGCATTTCTGTTACTAGTAGTCAACAACATCTATCAGTAGGCACTTTCAAAAACAGAGTTTCCTTATGATTGATTTAGACAGTTGATATGTTCTTTACTTGGGATGGATGTGAAGGAAAGGGTACAATACTGAGCTAGACTCCCACACAGCATACTTGTGTCTTCAGGAAGGGAAAGA